CATGTGTTTAAAGTTGTGTTTAAAAATGACTTATAGCTTAGGTTGTTTTGCTTTGTTTAAAATTGCAATCCAGGTATGATCGTGCAATATAAAATCAAGCCTGTTTCTCAAAACTGTAACTTTCACGCTTCTTGCAAAACCACTTGGCACATCAACATTTGTCAATTCAAGAGTGTATCCACCTTACATCTTAGATACCTCACACACAAAACTACTCAATTATTTGACACTTTGACAACTATTATGTTAAAATATCAGAATTTTCAATTTTTCTCTGTTTCCTGTCATTGTCATTTGAATGTGATTGTGTTTTGGACTGTTGGTAAGAAAAGTGAAAAAACGTCACCTCAGGCTTCGGGAACTTGTAGTTATTGCACATTTGCTTCTGATTTTTTTATGGGCCACAATTCATTGGTTAAACAGAGAAAAATATCAACAAATCCATAAATTGTGGCACTGAGGACAAAAATGCGTTATGCTGCATTTAATCATTAAAAGTAGTTAGGCTACCTTGAAATTCAAATCTAATATTAGTGACACAACGTCTCAGTATTGGGCAGCTCCATGGGCTGCAATGCACTTCCTGTTTTTTTTTAAGAAACATCTCAGCCACATCCTGTCTTGGATTTCAAACGTTTGGGTGATGCAAACGTTTGCTTAAAGTTGAAAAATTACCCGTCTCTTATTAAAGGTTTTTCGAGGTAGGTGTAGAAATAAATCTGAGAAAAGATATATAATTACCTTTCAGGAAACAAATCAGCTTGTGACCTCTCAGATTTATGTTGAGGGCTCTTGTAGGGTCCTGACCGAAAGGTTAAAAAAAAAAAACGTTCTGAGATAGGACATTTTTCGCCAGTTTAGTGGAGGAAGAAGTACTCAGATATTTTCCTTGAATAAAAGTAGAAATACTACAGTGTAAAAATACTTTCTTACAAGTAAAAGTCCTGCAATCATAATCTTACTTTAGAAAAAGTACATAAGTATTCACATCAAAATATACTTAAAGTATCAAAAGGGAAAGTACTTATTGTGTACGTAATTCCAATTTCAGAATAACATTCAATTACTGGATTATTATTTTTTATTAAAGTAATGTGTTTATCACAGCTGGTAAAAGTGGAGCTACTCTTATACTTCTGCTGGATACTTTACTTATAACTATATAGCATAGTTTATTTCTTATATTTTGTATTTGCTAATAATCTGAATCTGTAAAGTAACAAGTATATATTTATGTCAAATTAATGTAGTGGATTAAAAGGAAAATATTGGCTTCCATATTGTAGTGGAGTAAAACCGTAGCATAAAATAAAAATACTCAAGGAAAATAACGCAAAATCGTACTTAAAGGTGGGGTAGGTAAGTTTGAGAAACCGGCTCGAGATACACTTTTTGTTATATTCCATGGAATGCTCTTAACATCCCGATAGCAATGAATATCTTAAGTGCTTTGACAAAAACTCCATAAAAAAATGTCATCTGTGGAAGCCGTAATACTGTAAAAAGCACGACCGATCATTTTAGCCGGCCCGGCTAAAATAACTGGATGGCCTACCTGCCTGTCAGCCTTCCATCTGTGCACAGACTTATCTCGTGCCCTCATTGGTCATGTGCGCGTTCGTGTGTGTTGGAGGAGGGGCTCTGTAAGGAAGTGGCAGATTTTCTCCGGTTGTGTATTTTCAAATTCTAGCGCACTCGAGCTGGTTTCTCCAAAATTACCTACCCCACCTTTAAGTACAAAACTTGAGTAATTGTAATTCACTACATTACACCACTGGCTAATTCTCCAGACATGCGTGAGATAGAAAAGGTTTGAGGGACATGGCTCTGTGAAACACACTGAACTGATTATTGCAGTGTATTGCAGCAGCCAGTACGTACTACCTCAGAGTGGACGACATTTTTCCATTTCAACTCTTCTCCTCCAACACTCAGACAGCCACATTGGTTTTCCATTGTTGTTTTTTTACAGCCTTTTCTGCTATACAGTTTAAAAATGTTTTCTTAAATATCAAACGTTATCAGATTGCTCCATAAATCCTCTTTGCAGTTAACTTCCTTGATTGTACTAATCGCACCTCTTGTTTACTCATCTCTCAGTCGTAACTGCATGGATTCTTACCCAACGTTCCTGGCAGTGATGTGGTGTGCCGGTCTGTGTCTCAGTCAAGGTAATCATTAATCAGTTACTGTAAAGGACTTTTTTTTTGGTCATAAACAGAACACTCCCACAGAGTCAGTTCAGCTGAGGAAAAACATTCAAGAAAGGATTTTGTTCTATAGATTATTTTATTTTGTTCTTTATAGATGACTCCTTAATTTGAGGAGCACTTATAATATAATACCATTAACCCTATTTAGCCAAAATGATATGGACACTTGACCACACATACATGTAATTCAAAACTTACGCAGCAATGAAGTACAGCCCAATCAGGCTCAGCCAACACATGCAGAGGACAGGGTGCTTTGGCAGAATTAAATTACAATATAAATTCATATCAAACTTGCTGTATATTCATCTGCAACTTTAAAATATTGAGACAACTTTTTAACCCAGGATAGTCAGAACAGGCCGATACAACTGACACATATTAACTCATGTTGTTCCACCTAGGCTCTCATTTACACTAAAATGTAAATCAAAAGTATTCCAACCTTTTTTCTGGAATTCTTACCTTTCATACACTACCATCTATAAGAAGCTCTTTACACTTGAGTGACAACTACTTGTAAAGGAAAGCAACATTTCCTTATAGCTTACTGTAACAATGTCTCAACCATTACAATAGCTCATAAAACACCTTATAGAACAATAAACAGAGAGCCTCTTGAAGTTTCTAGACTGCCAACAGTCAGTCCTCAAATGCATTTTTTCTCCCTCTGCCCACACTACCTGGGCTTCACTTCAAGTAATACATAAACAAATGTGTGAATATATTATTTTTGGTTCACACAGTTGAATCACGGTATTCTCTGAAGTATCATTAGTGACTGTATCACTGAACCGGGAAAAAGAGCCACAGACCAAAACATGACACCCAAATAAAAGTGGCCAGGAGTTTCCATATGTTCCATATTGTGAGTTATGAAAATGGGGATTGTAGTAATATACCAGGCTATTCAAAATTGCTGGTCATCATATAACGTTTACATGTAAAAAATATGCTCTGTTAAATGAATGGACAAAAGTGAGTGTGTGTGAGTTAGAAAGACACGAGCAGCACCAACAGTATATGTTAATTGTTATAATAATAATAATAGTTAAAACTCAAATAAACTACTTAAAAGTATTTTTTAACATGCTATAGTGCTGCTAACATGTAAACTGCCATGTTTTTCTAATATAGCCTCATATAGTAATATGATATTGGTTTCCCAGTTCATAATTCTGTACAACTATGTTCTCATTCTTTAGAGTTTCATTGTAACTAATAATGATAATTACACAAATGTAATACTGTGATGTTTTCTGAGACCATACCATGATGATCTCAGTTTGTACAACCCAACCAGGAAGTAATATATATATTTCTTTTTCTGTCACATCTCTGAAGCTCCTGCTTCCTTTGCTGGGGTCATCTATCTTGTAGTCAGGCAGAAGTACTTTGTCGGATACATGGGACAAACCTCTCAAAGGTAAATTATAATGAGCGATCTGTGTTTTGTTTGTTAAGAGGCATAGTCTAACATATATTTAAATATTATTCGTAGCACCCCAGGCTACCTGTTTGGAAAACGCATCCTGTTCTTCCTGTTCCTGATGTGCATTGTGGGAATCTTCAACTACCTGCTGGTGCGCTTCTGCAGCAGCGACTATAAGGAATACGTGGAAACCATCACCAGCGCTGCGTCTGCTCTTCTCCTACTCCCTTAGGGCAAGGTGTGTCCCATAATGGCACAAACAACTTATATGTCTTTTAATTGAACAAAAACAAAAGTCTGATTTAATTTCTGTTCTTATAAAAGAGCATTTATTGTGTGTCAGTTTGGTAAATAAATAAAATGTCATTAACAAAGTATGATTCTTCTGTACAAACGTCTTAAACAATTCATTCTGCAATATAGATTTGACCCCTTCAACTCTAATCAAATGAGGTAAACATCTGGTTACTATCGAAAAACACTGGAAAAAAATACACAATATATTCCTTGATAATCTTCATGGCATTCAGTAATTCTTTGTCAGTCCTTGTCAGTGGTTTCCACCAACTTAACAGAAGAAGTACCCAACAGCCATTATAGTGCAGTTCTGTCTGAAGAGGTAGGCTGCTCCTTTACCTGGCAGGTTACATTCTTCTGCTGACCAGGAAACTTCCTTAAAGGAGAGGTGTCATGGCCATTTCCACTGATCATAATTCCATTGTTGAGGTCTACTAAAATAGATTTATATTGTGCATTTTTCCAAACTCACATTGGTTTCTCATACAGCATCTCTGTAAACTACTTGTATTCACTGAATTTCACTATCTTCCTTTAACGGCTCGTTGTAGCTCCAATAGCTCCAGCCCCCACCCTCCCTGTGAGCACAGTGTGCTCTGATTGGTCGGGACGTTGTGAATCACGCTGAGCTCCGTGGAGGTGTTGTTTCCTTGTTTAGGATACATAGCGAAACACAGCCAAACTCATCCTGAGCACACACAAACTCACATCCGAAGTAAAAACAATAAGTGTGACTTGATATTGAGTAAAAAAAAGGTTGATAAACGCTGTGAGAATGGGTCTGCAGAGAGAATTTTGCCGCGATCCCAACTGTCTGTTATCAGCCTGCAGCCAGGGATGAGAAATCAGCTGAGCTGCCTGCTCCCTGCACACAGATGTGTGTGTGAGGAAGTCCGTGGATCGGTCAATTTGGACCAATCAGCGGGGGCTTAACGTAACGGCTCCGCGGACGTAACGTAACGGCTCTTCGGGATTGGTCCATTTCGTTCCGGGTACCGCTTGACATCATGCCGTACCCGGAACGAAATGGAAGACTCAAATGGGCAGTGACGTATCTCCAACGAGGCGTTTTGGGGAGGTCTTTTCTGTGTTAGAGTTTTACTCGCTACAGGGTGTACTTTGAGGGTTTTGACTCTGCACACCGTTTACATGCATAAAAACCTTCATAACACACAAGGGGACGGATAATAACCGGAAAAGCATGACACCTCTCCTTTAAGGAAGCAGACCCAGACGCCATTAAAACTGAGTGCAAAAACTCCATTTGTTTCTCTTTCCCATCCACTGCTTGCTCATGTCAGTCTCAACTGTAATGGTAAAAGATGTGAGCAGAGAACACAAATTAGACAAGTGCAATCTGACAAATCCAGCAAAGTAACTATCTATATTATACTATCACTACTATATTGCTAAGAAGAATAAGACATACTTACACTAAATTTCCTTTTGCTGAACCCAAACCGGTGTGCAAAGTCAAAGAGGGCATCAGAGTAGTATTTGAGGGTGAAGGAGGTGTCTCTCCACACAGGTTGGACTTTTGTTAATTTGTCGGTTATAACGCTGCTGTTTTTCACTGCCCAGTTCTCCATTATTTCAGTCAAGTCAATCTGATATAAACAAAAGACATATTTAAAAACCACAAAACACACTAGCTCCCGGTGTGAACTACATTAAAAGTGACACAAAGTCCTGCTTACATCCACCCTGTAGCTTTCTCCTGCGACAGAGGAGATGCTCCAGTCCAGGCCTTTCTCCATCTGCCACTTGATGAAAGGATCGTTTCCATCGATGGACACCACAAACTGCTTGAGCACTGCCACTGATACAAGGTGTAGGATAATTTATGGGGAAAACAGAGGGAAACCAGTGAGAAGAGAGCTCAGAAAGACATGTTGTCATTGTGCAGAAGCACTGTACAGCCATTATCATTACTCTACTCCACCCATTGCAAACATCCCAAGTTCGATTTCAGCCCACATGCAGTTGAGTCACCCATGCCACATATAGGCAGCATGACACACTGTGCTCAAAAGTATAATGTTGTGCGAATTGAAAAAAGCCAGTGGTGGATTTAAGTACCATTTATCTTTTTTGAGTTATTTCAGTGTAATTACACAAAAACGTGTGTCTGCGTCATGATGAGGTCATTTTGTATAATGGTAGTAAGTAGCCTTGTGTACAGTTAAAGTTACCTCTTGCTTTATTGGCTGCCTTTTTGTCGTTCACTGAAAAGTTTTCTTCGCATGCAGACATCAGCAGATAAATCCTCTTGGACAGCAGACTCTTCCTCATGCTGGTATACTCCCATAAGTTTTGCATTTTAACCTTCCTGTTTTGAAACAATTCAAACATGTTTTTGTGTATAATAATATGTGTGTTTTAAAGCATCCCATGAAGCGTTTCCCTCACCTTCCCACCGAGTTCAGGAAAACTATTTCCCGTCTGCAGGAGTTTAAGTCGTCGATGAGCACCAGGCTCTTTTCCGGGTCGCTGTAGACTCGGTGACCGGAGGAGAGTTCCTCCACGGAGAAACCGTCCGGAGGATTTTTCAGAAACTCTTCCACTTCTGTCACTCTCATCCTGCTGTGGGACGTCTTGCTCGCATTCATGGTGTCACGCTTTTCTCTGGTACGTCTTCCTGTGGCTCCGGCTGTTTATAATGCCTGCCTGAAGTCTGTAGCTTAAATAAACGCTGCGAAGCTAGACATGATGGTGACACGACCAGACTTCCGGTCTCAAATGATGGAGCTAATTTCCTGCCAAAAGTCACGTGACTGAGTCACGTGACTTTTGGCAGTAATATTCCGCCGTGGTTGTGCTCATACACACTCACACATGCTCACTCACACATGCTCCACGGCAGCAGGGGGCACTACTGAGTCCATTGGGAAGGCGGGAGGTTGAGCAGAGCATGGAACAGCTCTTGCCAGCCTGATCATGACAGCCGTGTTTCTAGCGATCCAGCATCTGAATTTAGCGATCACAACGAAAACAGCCAAGACACATATTGAGCCCAGAAAATGAATGTTCTTAGGGCTGTAAATATAATAAGCCTTTGTCTAAAATAGACAACATTGTAACTAAGGAGATTTAAACTATACAGCGATTCTGCACTCGGTCAATCAGCTGCTCTTCATTTTCTTTCCTGCTATATTCAATGAGTGATACAAATATTTTTTACCATACGTTCTGAATAAAACTGATACTGTTGGACTCGGTACTAGTTGACTGCTACCAGAAATAAAAGGAAGTACTTTACTGTGTACTTTGTGAGTAATCCTCTGTCAGAGTCCCCTCCATAGTACATAATGCATGTTTTTTGCTATCTTTGATGAATGATAAAAGGGTCATTCCAGAATTGGAGGACAATTTAGACACCAACATTTTTGAAAAATGAACCTTTCATTTTATTATTTTTTGTTATGTATTTAGGAAAAACAGATAATAAACCATAAAAAAAAGTGATTTGCCCAGCTAAGGCATCAAATGTATATTTTCCAATGAAGAATTAACCCTGTTACTCTAATTATAGTAACAGGGTTGCAAGTAACAGGGTTGAAAATCAATGCTAATTTTAGCTTTTACCTCAGGAATTAATGCTAGCTGCACAATGTAATGCTATTGTCAAGGAATGGACACACTTTATATTATATTTATATTTATATTTATATATATTTAACAAAAGAAAGATACATTTGAAATTAATTTGTTTTTGTTTCATAATTTGAGTAACAGGGTTGCGTTTGTATGAGTGCCACACTCCTTCAAGAGTGACAAGATTGGAAATATATTACAAATAAAAGAGAGGACTTAGTTTTGGTCTACCCATGGTAGTAGCACATGGCTTGCTGATGTCCTTTCCACTGTGTCATGCGGCAAACAGTTTTTTCACTTCCTCTGCCAAGCTAAAAAGGTTTCGGTAACAGGGTTGCGCGCATGTTGAGGGACACACCTTCTGTGCAAAATTACTGTTATTTAAAATGTGTTTATGATTTAACAAATTGATTTTACCATTACAAGACACATATATCAATAGAATAATACCAAAAAAGTAAATAAAAACCCTATTTTAAATGTTATAGTTGACATGCAAGTTGGTCACCAAGAAGCTGGGACAAGAGAAAAGGGCAATTTTAGGGGGTGTTCGAGAGCTATTTGATATTTTAAATAATATTTTGAAACCACTTTTTCTACAACTTTATATGCATCTTGTCTCAAGACAAGTATATTTAACACAAGTGCATGTCTTAGCTTTTTGGGCATGGATTATTAGATTTTTTATATGGGGGACATGAAATGTCCTCCAATTCTGGAATGACCCAAAAATAAAATGTTACCATTAGTTCTTAATGAAATTGATACGGTTTGACTTTGTATTAGTAAGCCTACTACTAACAATACATTGAAGTACTTTTACTGTGTATTTTTTTGAGAAATACTCTGTCAAAGTCCCCTCCTGAGAACAAAATCAAGCCACTTCTTCTAAGTTTGATGAGGGAAAAAAATATTTGTTGGGTGATTTAATGGGTGATGTAACATTAATGACAGACATAATATGAGGTCCTTGGCACTCTAGAGGGGTCATTTTGTGATCATGGGGCATCACCCTTACAGCATCAGGACAATATCATATGGAGTCAGATACTGGAAGTGGGCTGGAGGCGTTAACTGGGACTGATGGAAGGATGAGGCTGATGAGACTGAAGAATCTGCGAGGAACGAACTAGCGGCAGAGGAATAATTATATATTAAAAGACAGCAGCATCATAAGAGGGCAACCATGTGACAGAGTGTGTTACTTTGCTGAAGGATATTTGTGACCAGCTATCCATTCCAGGCCAGACTCTAAAGACTTTCCAAGGTGTGAAAATGCTGCTGCCGGAGTACTGACTGGAAGTATTGCTGATATCATGTCTACCATCCTCTTAAAATACTCTGTCCAACAATATCAGTCTCAGGAAGAAATGTTTTTTAATGCTTATTAAAAGAAAAACATGCATTCTTGTACTCAGGAGGGGACATTGACAGAGGATTACTGGAAAAGTACACAATAAGTACTTCATAGTACTTGTGGGAGTAGTATCAGTAGTACTGAGTCCAACAGGATCAATCTCACGAAGAACTAATGGCAACAAAAAAGAATTCCCTCATCAAACTTAGCAGAAGTGGCTTGATTTTGTTCACAGGAGGGGACTTTGACAGAGTATTTCTCAAAAAATACACAGTAAAAGTACTTCAATGTATTGTTAGTAGTAGGCTTACTAATACAAAGTCAAACCGTATCAATTTCATTAAGAACTAATGGTAACATTTTATTTTTATCATTCATCAAAGATAGCAAAAAACATGCATTATGTACTATGGAGGGGACTCTGACAGAGGATTACTCACAAAGTACACAGTAAAGTACTTCATTTTATTTCTGGTTGCAGTCAACTAGTACCAAGTCCAACAGTGTCAGTTTTATTAAGAACTTGTGGTAAAAAATATTTGTATCACTCATTGAATATAGCAGGAATAAAAATGAAAAGCAGCTGATTGACCGAGTGCAGAATCGCTGTATACAGGGGCGGACTGGGACAACAAATCAGCCCGGGACTCTCGACCGGCCCACTTCGGTACCGCCGGCCCACCTCGGTACCGCAAGTAAGCGGCCCACCTCGGTGGTGCCGCAAGTAAATACCGCGAGGAAATTGTCGACGGGGGGGAAGGGGGGGTGAGCAGTGACTTATCCGACCGGCCCACTTCAGTACCGGCCCATCGGGATTCGTCCCGAACGTCCCCTGGCTGTATATATAGTTTAAATCTCTTTAGTTACAATGTTGTCCATTTTAGACAGGCTTATTATATTTACAGCCCCTAATAACATTTATTTTCTGGGCTCAATATGTGTCTTGACTGTTTTCGTTGTGATCGCTAAATTCACCTTGTTTATAATATTATCACTATAACACCTGTCATCAGACTGGCAAGAGCTGTTCCATGCTCTGCTCAACCTCCCGTCTTCCCAATGGACTCAGTAGCGCCCCCTGCTGCCGTGTAGCATGTGTGACTGTGTATGAGCCAGCCACGGGGGAATATTACTGCCAAAAGTCACGTGACTCACGTGACTTTTGGCAGTAATATTCCGCCGTGAGAAGAAAAAGTTTTGTAGTTGTAAAACAAATTTGTGTACTTGTAAAAAAAAGTTTTGTAGTTGTAAAACAAATTTGTGCACTTGTAAAAAAAAGTTGTGTACTTGTAAAACTGTTACGAACTCAGACACTTAGGATGTAGGACCCAATTGCACGACCCGGGAGACAGAGGTAAAGTATTAGTAAGATACTTTATTTTCCAAAATACAGCAATGAACAACAAAAAAGGTAACTATCAAATCTCTAACCGAGATGACAAAAATAGAGGAACAAAATGAAAGCGCTCACGTAGTGAGGAATCAAACTTTACAAGAATACAAAGAGCATAGACCTGACCATAGCAAGAGACAATACGAACTGACAAAGAACACTTGGGAGACAGGGGAATATAAGCACAGGGTAACTAGACACAGGTGGGACCAATCAGGGGCGGGGCTGACATTGATGAGCACAGGAGACACAGGTGAAAATAATCAGGAAGCCTGGAATGAGAGAAAGCAAACGTAAATAACATGCATCTCTCTAGCATTTCTGTCGGTGCACAACAGTACCCCCCCCTCTAGGGCCAACTCCTGATGGCCCAGGCTGATTGTAAAAATCGTGGATAAGCGTCTTGTCTACGATAAATGACGCAGCTACCCAGCTTCTAGTCTCAGGACCGTAACCCTTCCAGTCTACCAGGAATTGCTTCCCCCTCCCCCTATTACGGACCTCCAGTAGCTTACGGACCTTGTAAACCTCACCCCCTTCAAAGAACTCGGGCGGTGGAGGGGGCTTGGAGGCGGGAACAAGTGTGCTCTCGTACACCGGCTTGATTTTACTGACGTGAAACGTCGGATGTACTCTCATAGTTCTGGGGAGTTGCAAGCGTACAGACACCGGGTTGATGACTCTGGACACCGGGAAAGGACCCACAAATCTCGGAGCCAGTTTCTTTGAGGCGACATGGAGTGGTAAGTCCTTAGTGGAAAGCCAAACATTTTGGCCTGGTCTGTAGGAGGGAGCGACCCTGCGATGGACGTCTGCAACAGCCTTCATCCGAGCTGAACTTCGGAGAAGAGCCTGGCGAGCACCAGCCCAAACTCGTCGACAACGTCTGATCATGGCATGAGCCGATGGAACCCTCACCTCTTCCTCGTTGTTAGGGAAAAATGGAGGCTGGAAACCATTGACAGAATGGAGAGAGACCTGTGGCTGCCGTAGGAAGAGTATTGTGGGCAAACTCGACCCATGTGAGGTGGTCACTCCAGGTAGTCTGGTTCCGGGAGACGAGACAACGTAGCGTAGTCTCTAGTTCCTGGTTCAGACGCTCCGACTGTCCATTTGACTGAGGATGATATCCTGATGACAAGCTGACGGTGGCACCTATGAGTCGACAAAACTCCTTCCAGAAAAACGGAAATGAATTGTGGACCCCTGTCGGAAACAATGTCATCAGGGAATCCATGGATCCTGAATATGTGATTCATCATGACCTCTGCGGTGACTTTGGCAGAGGGAAGCTTGGTCAATGGGATGAAGTGAGCCATCTTTGAAAATCGATCCACCACTGTTAGGACCGTAGTCTTGCCTCTGGATGAAGGAAATCCTGTCACAAAATCC